AATTGAAACTAATGTAGCTACTGATAAGTCTCACCAAGTCTCACCAAGTCACCTAAAAAGTAACTGAGCACCTAAAAAACTGTCTTGAATTAACATGGACTGTCAATGGAGACACATTTTTTACTTAGGTGTTCACACGCATGTTCACGTGATCACACGTCCACATGTGCGTCCACACGTGCGTTGACACATTGACACGCCTTGTTAAATGAGTGAATGTAATTTATAGCTGATTTTAAAATGGACGTCTTTCTATTTTATTGTAATTATATTCTAGGTATGAAGTCACCATTGTCACATTATTTTATTATCGTTATATTCAATGTATAAAATCTCCTTTGTCACATTATTTTATTGTCACTATATTCTAGATATAAAATCACCTTTGTCACATTATTTTACTGTCATTATATTCTAGGTATAAAATCACCTTTGTCACATTTGTATTTGTATTTATTAAGGATCCCCATTAGCTGCTGCCAATGCGCAGCTACTCTTCCTGGGGTTTATTATGGATCCCCATTAGTTCCTGCCAAGGCAGCAGCTACTCTTCCTGGGGTTTATTATGGATCCCCATTAGCTGCTGCCAAGGCAGCAGCTACTCTTCCTGGGGTTTATTATGGATCCCCATTAGTTCCTGCCAAGGCAGCAGATACTCTTCCTGGGGTCCTGCAACATCAAGGCAGTTATATACAATTTAAAATATTACATGACATTATATTTCATAACACTTTACCCAATACATGTAGTGTATTCCCTCAGGCCACTACTCCACTATCACATATTTACAATACAACATCCATGTGTACGTTTGTGTAGAGTGAGTATCTATATGTACAGTGTGGAGAACAAGTATTTGATACACTGCCGATTTTGCAGGTTTTCCTACTTACAAAGCATGTAGAGGTCTGTCATTTTTATCATAGGTACACTTCAACTGAGAGAGACGGAATCTAAAACAAAAATCAAGAAAATCACATTGTATGATTTTTAAGTAATTAATTTGCATTTTATTGCATGACATAAGTATTTGATACATCAGAAAAGCAGAACTTAATATTTTGTACAGAAACCTTTGTTTGCAATTACAGAGATCATACGTTTCCTGTAGGTCTTGACCAGGTTTGCACACACTGCAGCAGGGATTTTGGCCCACTCCTCCATACAGACCTTCTCCAGATCCTTCAGGTTTCGGGGCTGTCACTGGGCAATACGGAATTTCAGCTCCCTCCAAAGATTTTCTATTGGGTTCAGGTCTGGAGACTGGCTAGGCCACTCCAGGACCTTGAGATGCTTCTTACGGAGCCACTCCTTAGTTGCCCTGGCTGTGTGTTTTGGGTCGTTGTCATGCTGGAAGACCCAGCCACGACCCATCTTCAATGCTCTTACTGAGGGAAGGAGGTTGTTGGCCAAGATCTCGCGATACATGGCCCCATTCATCCTCCCCGCAATACGGTGCAGTCGTCCTGTCCCCTTTGCAGAAAAGCATCCCCAAAGAATGATGTTTCCACCTCCATGCTTCACGGTTGGGATGGTGTTCTTGGGGTTGTACTCATCCTTCTTCTTCCTCCAAACACGGCGAGTGGAGTTTAGACCAAAAAGCTATATTTTCGTCTCATCAGACCACATGACCTTCTCCCATTCCTCCTCTGGATCATCCAGATGGTCATTGGCAAACTTCAGACGGGCCTGGACATGCGCTGGCTTGAGCAGGGGGACCTTGCGTGCGCTGCAGGATGTTAATCCATGATGGCGTAGTGTGTTACTAATTGTTTTCTTTGAGACTGTGGTCCCAGCTCTCTTCAGGTCATTGACCAGGTCCTGCCATGTAGTTCTGGGCTGATCCCTCACCTTCCTCATGATCATTGATGACCCATGAGGTGAGATCTTGCATGGAGCCCCAGACCGAGGGTGATTGACCGGCATCTTGAACTTCTTCCATTTTCTAATAATTGCGCCAACAGTTGTTGCCTTCTCACCAAGCCGCTTGCTTATTGTCCTGTAGCCCATCCCAGCCTTGTGCAGGTCTACAATTTTATCCCTGATGTCGCTACACAGCTCTCTGGTCTTGGCCATTGTGGAGAGGTTGGAGTCTGTTTGATTGAGTGTGTGGACAGGTGTCTTTTATACAGGTAACGAGTTCAAACAGGTGCAGTTAATACAGGTAATGAGTGGAGAACAGGAGGGCTTCTTAAAGAAAAACTAACAGGTCTGTGAGAGCCGGAATTCTTACTGGTTGGTAGGTGATCAAATACTTATGTCATGCAATAAAATTCAAATTCATTACTTAAAAATCATACAATGTGATTTTCTGGATTTTTGTTTTAGATTCCGTCTCTCACAGTTGAAGTGTACCTATAATAAAAAACGACAGACCTCTACATGCTTTGTAAGTAGTTAAACCTGCAAAATCGGCAGTGTATCAAATACTTGTTCTCCCCACTGTATATATATATATCCCATATAGTCTAACCATAGTCTACCATATAGTCTATATATATATACATCGGCAGTGTATCAAATACTTGTTCTCCCCACTGTATATATATATATCCCATACAGTCTAACCATAGTCTCCCATATAGTCTATAAATATATACATCGGCAGTGTATCAAATACTTGTTCTCCCCACTGTATATATATATATCCCATATAGTCTAACCATAGTCTCCCATATAGTCTATATATATATACATCGGCAGTGTATCAAATACTTGTTCTCCCCACTGTATATATATATATCCCATATAGTCTAACCATAGTCTCCCATATAGTCTATATATATATACATCGGCAGTGTATCAAATACTTGTTCTCCCCACTGTATATATATATCCCATATTGTCTGTTCTCCCCACTGTATGTGTGTATGTACCTGTATGTGTCTCTTCACAGTCCCAGCTATTAAATCACCTTTGTCACATTATTTTATTGTCATTATATTCTAGATATTAAATCACCTTTGTCACATTATTTTATTGTCATTATATTCTAGATATTAAATCACCTTTGTCACATTATTTTATTGTCATTATATTCTAGATATTAAATCACCTTTGTCACATTATTTTATTGTCATTATATTCTAGATATTAAATCACATTTGTCACATTATTTTATTGTCATTATATTCTAGATATTAAATCACCTTTGTCACATTATTTTATTGTCATTATATTCTAGATATTAAATCACCTTTGTCACATTATTTTATTGTCATTATATTCTAGATATTAAATCACCTTTGTCACATTATTTTATTGTCATTATATTCTAGATATTAAATCACCTTTGTCACATTATTTTATTGTCATTATATTCTAGATATTAAATCACCTTTGTCACATTATTTTATTGTCATTATATTCTAGATATTAAATCACCTTTGTCACATTATTTTATTGTCATTATATTCTAGATATTAAATCACCTTTGTCACATTATTTTATTGTCATTATATTCTAGATATTAAATCACCTTTGTCACATTATTTTATTGTCATTATATTCTAGATATTAAATCACCTTTGTCACATTATTTTATTGTCATTATATTCTAGATATTAAATCACCTTTGTCACATTATTTTATTGTCATTATATTCTAGATATTAAATCACCTTTGTCACATTATTTTATTGTCATTATATTCTAGATATTAAATCACCTTTGTCACATTATGTTATTGTCATTATATCACATACGTTTTTCCTTCTCAACTGAATTGTTCATTCATTCCTCTCCTGTCCACAGTTCATTGTTCATTCATTCCTTTCCTGTCCACAGTTCATTGTTCATTAATTCCTGTCCTGTCCCCAGTTCATTGTTCATTCATTCCTGTCCTGTCCACAGTTCATTGTTCATTCATTCATTCCTCTCCTGTCCACAGTTCATTGTTCATTCATTCATTCCTCTCCTGTCCCCAGTTCATTGTTCATTCATTCCTGTCCTGTCCACAGTTCATTGTTCATTAAATCCTCTCCTGTCCCCAGTTCATTGTTCATTCATTCCTGTCCTGTCCCCAGTTCATTGTTCATTCATTCCTCTCCTGTCCCCAGTTCATTGTTCATTCATTCATCTCCTGTCCCCAGTTCATTGTTAATTCATTCCTGTCCTGTCCCCAGTTCATTGTTCATTCATTCATCTCCTGTCCCCAGGTCATTGTTCATTCATTCCTCTCCTGTCCCCAGTTCATTGTTCATTCATTCCTGTTCTGTCCCCAGTTCATTGTTCATTCATTCCTGTCCTGTCCCCAGTTCATTGTTCATTCATTCCTGTCCTGTCCCCAGTTCATTGTTCATTCATTCCTCTCCTGTCCATAGTTCATTGTTCATTCATTCCTGTCCTGTCCCCAGTTCATTGTTCATTCATTCCTTTCCTGTCCCCAGTTCATTGTTAATTCATTCATCTCCTGTCCACAGTTCATTGTTCATTCATTCCTCTCCTGTCCCCAGTTCATTGTTCATTCATTCTTGTCCTGTTCCCAGTTCATTGTTCATTCATTCCTCTCCTGTCCCCAGTTCATTGTTAATTCATTCCTTTCCTTTCCTGTCCACAGTTCATTGTTCATTCATTCCTGTCCTGTTCCCAGTTCATTGTTCATTCATTCCTCTCCTGTCCCAAGTTCATTGTTAATTCATTCCTTTCCTTTCCTGTCCACAGTTCATTGTTCATTCATTCCTGTCCTATTCGCAGTTCATTGTTCATTCATTCCTGTCCCCAGTTCATTGTTAATTCATTCATCTCCTGTCCACAGTTCATTGTTCATTCATTCCTGTCCCCAGTTCATTATAGGGTTAGGGTTAGGGTTAGGGTTAGGGTTAGGTTTAGGGTTAGGGTTAGGGTTAGGTTTAAGAGGGTTTTTGTTTGTACTGGTTTCAAACCTTTAGGTTGCACGGGCCTATTGCACCTTTGCCCGGTCTCGAGAACGTGTGAGGACATGAGAGACCGAGAGCTCCGAGGGGTCACCCACAACAATTCAAAAGTGTTAATGTTTTTTATTTATTCCTTGATATTCATCCCCAGTGGAGCCAAAGTATTACGTTTTGAAATCCACCTGGATTCGGCCGCTTTTCTCTGGCCTCTGGTCCAGGTGGATTTCATCTCCAGACCGGTAATATGGAGGGAAGTTGTTGGGTGGATCTGAAAATGTTGGACCAGGTGTGTTTGTAATATGTTTTTTCTAATTGTGTAGAGGTGCTGTTTGAGGCGTGTCAGGACTGTGTGACCGGTTTCTCCTATATAAATGTTGTGGCATAGTGTGCATGTTATGGCATAGACAATATTGGTACTATGGATGGTCATGAGTTGTGAAATAGGACTGGAGGTTTGTGCATGTGGATTTTGAATGTGTGAAAGTTGTCTATGATACTGTTGTTCAACGGGTAGTTTAGGAGTAGGTTTATTGGAAAACTTTGCAAAAATTAAGAGATCCCTTAAATTGGGGTTTCTACGGAAAGCTGATAAGGGTCTGAATTCCTGAAGTGGGGGGAATGTGCGTTGTGTTTGGGTGAAAGCGAATTTGAGTCTAGAGTGAAGGAGTCTGTTTACGTCAGAGAAGGTGCTGATAATGGGTATAATCTGGGGTTCTGTGTCTGTTGGGGGAATAGGAACAGGGGGTCTGGGAAAGGTCTGAGGGTGGAGGACCGGGATAGGATGGGGGGGATAGGGATACATACCCAGAATCGGGAAAGGGATAGGGATAGGCGTGGGCTGTTCCCCCAGGTCAGGAGTCAGTACCTGGTCAAGAGTTCTCCCGGGAGAGTTTTGAGGTTAAGATTAAGGTTAAGGTTGAGGTTAGGGTTAGGGTTGGGGTTAAGGTTAGGGTTAAGGTTAGGGTTAAGGTTAGAGGTAAGGTTAGGGTTAGGGTTAAGGTTAAGGTTAGAGGTAAGGTTAAGGTTAAGGTTAAGGTTAAGGTTAAGGTTAAGGTTAGGGTTAGGGTTAGGGTTAGAGGTAGGGTTAGGAGGATCAGGCAATCTGTTCTGGGTGAAGCCCGCCAGTGTGTTGGCCTTTATGTACCTCAGTGATCGCTTTGAATATCCCCTCTTTCTCAGTGCACTAAAAAGAGTCTGTGTGGCTAGATTAAAGTCTTTATGTTGTGTACATAATCTATGAAATCGAATGAGTTGTGATTTTACAATACCAGTGAATGTATGTTTTGGGTGATAACTGGACTTGTGAAGTAAGGCATGTGTGTCTGTGTCTTTAAAGTATACTTTTGTTTGTAAAGAGACTATGTGTGTGTCAGTCTCTGGAAAGAATATTGTTGTATCCAGGAAGTTAATTGTATGTGGGTGAATGACATATTTAACAGTTATGGTTGGGTGATGGTTATTGAGTATTTCAATAAACGTTTTGAAATGTACCAGATCATGTTCCCACACGCCGAAGATATCATCCAGGTATCGTCTATAAAACATGAGACGCAATGGGCATTTATCTAAGGCTGTCAACTCCCAGTCCGCCATATAAATATTAGCATAGGCTGGGGCAAACTTTTTGCCCATCGCCGTCCCATGAATCTGTAAGTAGTGTTTATTATTGAATGTGAAATCATTGTTTCTTAATCCAAGCTCTAGAAGCTGTAGGAGGTGTGAGTCTGGTCTATCTGGATCTGTATATCTCCGGAGTGCAGATTTCACTGCTGCTAAACCTGACAAGATATCTATGTTGGTGTAGAGAGAATCTATATCTATAGTGAATAGGTATGCGTTTGCTGGGACTGGAATGTTGTGAAGCGTGTCTATGAAGTGGTATGTGTCCTTCAGATAGCTGGGGTGCCTTTGTGAAATGGGGTTGAGGAAATAGTCAATAAACTCCGCTGCTGGCGAGGACTCACTCCCACAGTCCGACACAATAGGTCTTCCCTTCGGGACCTCAAAAGGGACTGTCCAGGTATCTGGTGTTTGATGTATCTTAGGGAGGAGATAGAAGAGTCTCTGTCTGGGTAAGTCTGGTCCATCTAGATATTCCTTTTGTCTATATGTAATGTATTTCTTTTTATAAAGATCTAATATTATGTGTCTAATTTTTATTTGTGTCTGGATCTGTGTAGAGGCAGGAATAGGGGTATAGTGTTGTGTGTTAGAGAGTTGGCGGTGAGCTTCAAAGAGGTACTGTTGGTTGTCCATAATAATCATCTTTGAGCCTTTGTCTGCTGGTTTTATAGTTATATGTTTGTGTTTCCTTAATTTAGCTATGGCTTGTCTTTCTTCTACTGTGATATTCTGTTGTGAAGTTATGGTAGCGGTATGGAATTCTCTGATGTATGTATTGGTTTTAATGAGTTTCCTAATGGGTGCTGATATTGTCTGTGATTTTGGTTCCCATCTGGATGGAGCTGTGAACGGTAGGGTTCGGTAATCCGATGTATAATCAAAGTGGTCCAAAAGTTTCAGAGCTCTATGATACCTGTAGATGTCCCTCTGGAGGTCCCCATAGTCAGAATGCAGTGGTGTGGGGGATAAAAGTGAGTCCCCTCTCCAGCAGCCGAGTCTCAGAGGGTGATAAGTGAAATGTGGATGAAAGATTAAGGATGTTTGTGTCTTGGTGGAGGGGCTGTGATGTAGGCATACCCTCCCCCACTATTTTAGCTGTTCCATCCAATGTTGGAGTATTTTTGCCCCTGTATCTGCTGTCCAGTGTATATTGTCTTTCTCTGTGTGGAAATCTGAATGGTGGATTTCTAATAGAGGGTTGTAGTGTGTGACGATGTGTGAGTTGATATATTTCAACATGGTTTGTTGTTTCTCTGACAGGTGGGGAGAGTAGTTAATGATGGGGAAGTAAATGGTTGCATTAGGATACATCACTGTTGCTTTACTGTGAAGTGATTGTAGTTGTCCTATGGGTGTTTGTTTCTGTGTTTGTTCTTTGTTGTTCAGCCCCAGAGACAGCACAACCACCTTGGTGTTAGGATTTGGGGTAGATTTTGCCAATACCCCAGTAATGTGGTGGAACTGTGCTCCAGGATAACTGTCAATTTGGATGTGTTTGTACGGATGGTAGGGTATTCTTTTCAAATTTGAATCTCCAATGATAGCAATCGGTTTGAGAGATTTTATTTTCCAGTCATAGATTTTTCTGTTTGTCATGTCATGTCTAGTTGGCTGGTACAAGAATGGGGGGGTGGCTGGGGATGTTGGGGTAGAGTGTCTGGGTGAAGGCAGAGGGGTGAGTCTCACAGTGGGCTCTGAAGGAACCCTATTTTTTGGAGACAGACTAAGTGGGGTGGGTAAGAGGTATCTGGTGTGTGGAGAGGTTAGTATTGGGGAAGGTTCAGACAGGAAACTATTGGGATTGATTTTCCCTTTGTTTTCTCCCATCATCACAACTTTTTCCACGTTTACTCCTCTTTCCATAGTGACCACCTCAGCAGGGGTTTGGTGTTTATTTAGTTGAACCTCTGTTGGAACAAGAGTGGAGATGTTAGTGTCTGACCCAGAGAGGTCAGAAATGTTTAGATCAGATTGAATCGCTACATTGCTGATAATTGGTGTTTGGGGTGGTTGTGTGGTCTCCGTGGCCCTAGTCAATGTGGGGGCACTCCTGGAATCAAGTTGGCTGCAGGGTCTGTGTATCACCTGCGCCTGGACTGTGATGGTCTTAGTCTGGGCTATGGTGTGCTTTGTCTTTACCATAATTGACTGGAGAGTGGGAAATTCCTCCTCTCTAAGTTCAAAGTCTACTATAAATTCATCAGGGTCAGGTGGTGGTGAGGTGAACTGAGGATAAGCAAGGGTATCCCTATTAGGAGTTGGGGAAGGTACGGGTGGTATGTTATCTGGAGCCTTAGTCAGTGTCGAAGCTACGGGTATGGTAACAGTGCCCCTTGAGGACCAAGCCAAATCTGGAGAGGATGTTGGTTTGTTCCTAACAGACCTAGGAGCCAAAGTTGGGGCTTTAATTGCTTCAAGTCTCGGAACTGGTCGTGGTACCCTTCCTAAGGAGGATTGAGTCAGCCTGGAGGCCAGAGTGGATGGTAGTGTCCCGGCTAGGACGTGTGGGGAAGACCCTGAAGTTGGTAAGCTGGTCTTGGCTCTGGCTGTGGCTGTGGAACATGGCCATGAGGCTAGAGTAGGTTGTCTGGCCTGTGCTAAAGCTGGATTTGGTTCTAAAGCACTAGTGGATGGTGAGTCCTCTAACAGTGATTGCACTATGGGGACTGTACTGTCACGTAATTTGTGCCTGTACCTGTGTTGGGCCCAACGAACTGCTGTCTGGAAGGCACTACTGTTAAACGGGAAGCCTGTAGGGGATAGAGTGTTTAGTATTGCCTGGTAGTGTTCATGCAAGATATGCATATTTGCTGACATCCAATTTTCTGTATTATCAGCTACTTTCTGCTTTGTCTCTATGTTGGGGGATGATGGTTTAATAAAGTCTGAGTTTAGTGACCGGTTTCATCATCCCCACTGGAAAGTGTTGAGTGCATGTTCAATGATTTGTTTGTGGTGTATGGCTTGTATCAGTTTGAAGTAGGTCTTAGTTGTGTGTTGAGTGGAAGGTGTGTTAGGCATTGTTTGTTGTGCTGTAGTGTAGTGTTTCCTTTATCATAAGTAGGTGGAGCTTGTGTATTGAATATGTATAATCTACAAGATAAAAAAAAGTATAAAACTTTGATTTCTGTAGAGTCTAATGCCAAGAATTCACCAAGAGTCTGTCAGTAAAATAAGCGTGGAGGGGGTGGACAGAGAATGTATAAAATAAAACTGTGATAATAAAAAATGAAATTTGTACTGATTATTCTGCAGAGAACCGGGCAGATAAGTGGAAGCAATGGCATTGGCTAGGTTAGGGTTAGGGGTTAAGGGTTAGGTTAAGGCAAGGGTTTATGTTTGTATTGGTGTCAAACCTTGGGTTGCAAAGGCCTATTGCACCTTTGACCGGTCTGGAGAAAGTGGGAGGACATGAGAGACCGAGAGCTCCGAGGGGTCACCCACAACAATTCAAAAGTAGGAGGAAGACAATCATCGAAAACAACCTGGGATTAAAAGGTTTAACCCTAAACCAAATTTAATGTAAAACCACATTAAAACATGCATACCAGATCAATTAGATAATTAAATAGTTAGATAAATAATCACGTCATGTTAAAATGTGTAATATAATAAAATTCAGCAAAAAGTACTAAAAAAAAAAAGACACCACCAGGTTGAGCAATCAAATGCTTCTTTAAAAAAAGGAAAAGTATAATTTCAACTTAATCCTCGTTCCAGTGGCCCCTCCAGTCCTCTTAATTAGGCCCCCACCCCCTCCCACTGTTAGTGTTTTCTATTATACCTGGATATTCATCCCCAGTGGAGTCAAAGTATTAAGTTTTGAAATCCACCTGGATTCGGCCGCTTTCCTCTGACCTCTGGTCCAGGTGGATTTCATCTCCAGACCGGTAATACGGAGGGAGGTTGTTGGGTGGATTTGAAAATGTTGGACCAGGTGTGTGTTTAATGTTTTTTCCAATTGTGTAGAGGTGCTGTTTGAGGCGTGTCAAGACTGTGTGACCGGTTTCTCCTATATAAATGTTGTGGCATAGTGTGCATGTTATGGCATAGACAATATTGGTGCTTTGAATGGTCATGAGTTGTGAAATAGGACTGGAGGTTTGTGCATTTGGATTTTGAATCTGTGAAAGTTGTCTATAATACTGTTGTTCAATGGGTAGTTTAGGAGTAGGTTTATTGGACATTTGGCTAAAATTAAGATCCCTTAAATTGGGGTTTCTGCAGAAAGCTGATATGGGTCTGAATTCCTGAAGTGGGGGGAATGTGCGTTGTGTGAAAGCGAATTTCAGTCTAGAATGAAGGAGTCTGTTTACGTCAGAGAAGGTGCTGATAATGGGTATAATCTGGGGTTCTGTGTCTGTTGGGGGAATAGGAACAGGGGGTCTGGGAAAGGTCTGAGGGTGGAGGACCGGGATAGGATGGGGGGGGGGTAGGGATACGTACCCAGAATCGGGAAAGGGATAGGCGTGGGCTGTTCTCCCAGGTCAGGAGTCAGTACCTGGTCCAGAGTTCTACCGGGAGAGTTATGGAGGTTAAGGTTAGGATTAGGGGACAAAAACTGTTACCCACAAGGGTTAGGGTTAAGGTAAGGGACAAATTCTTAACCCCAAGTGGGTGTTAAGTGTGCACGGGCACAGGGGCTATATATATCCTCCTTTATGTAAAAAAGAAAAAAAAATATATATATATATATATTTCATTAAAACAGGAGGGACAAGACATTACAGTAGGATCCCAAAAACGGGAAGGGAAGGTTTTTTTTGGGGGGGGGGTTAGGTTTAGGCACCGGTGTCTCTGAGGTTAGGGTTAGGTAGAGGACTTTAGGGTTAAGGTTAGGTTTTAGGCACCGGTGTCACTGAGGTTAGGTTTTAGGCACCGGTGTCACTGAGGTTGGGGTTAGGGTTAAGGTGAGAGGCAGGGGAACATTCTCTAGTTTAGAACAAATATACAAATAAAAAGCACTGCCTGATGTTTCGCCTTACTAGGCTTCATCAGATGTAACAAGACAATGGGCAAAACAGGAACTTTAAAAAGGGTTTCAGAGGGGCTGACCTCCAGTGGCAATCACTGTTAATTGGTCCTTGGCATTTTTCCCTCCAAAACTTTCTGCATCTAAAAGGTCCCCAAATAGATACAAGTTCCCTCTATAGGTAGGGAAGACTTATAATACATAAAAAATGTGTAGTCTTCTTATAAGTTCCTATTGCCCATAATTAGATCTCATTTTTAACCAGAATACATAATGGTGATAATAGCTAACCAGGAACAGGCTAGGATAGTAGGGGATAAAGGGTTAGGGTTTAGGGTTAGGTAGGGGATAAAGGGTTAGGGTTTAGGGTTAGGTAGGGGACAAAGGGTTAGGGTTTAGGGTTAGGTAGGGGACAAAGGGTTAGGGTTTAGGGTTAGGTAGGGGATAAAGGGTTAGGTAGGGGACAAAGGGTTAGGGTTTAGGGTTAGGTAGGGGACAAAGGGTTAGGTAGGGGACAAAGAGTTAGGGTTTAGGGTTAGGTAAGGGACAAAGGGTTAGGGTTTAGGGTTAGGTAGGGGATAAAGGCTTAGGGTTTGGTAGGGGACAAAGGGTTAGGGTTTAGGGTTAGGTAGGGGACAAAGGGTTAGGGTTTAGGGTTAGGTAGGGGATAAAGGGTTAGGGTTTAGGGTTAGGTAGGGGACAAAATCTTAACCCCAAGTGGGTGTTAAGGGTGCACGGGCACATGTATCTATCCTCTATGTTTTAATTAAAAAAAAAAGACATTACAGTAGGATCCCAAAAACGGGAAGTGAAGTTATTAATTTTTTTAGGGTTAAGTTTTAGGCATCGGTGCCACTGAAGTTAGGTTTAGGCACCGGTGTCACTGAGGTTAGGGTTAAGGTGAGGGGCATATTCTCTAATTTAGGACAAATATACATTTTTTTTATTATTTTTTTATTTAACCTTTATTTAACCAGGTAAACCAGTTGAGAACAAGTTCTCATTTACAACTGCGACCTGGCCAAGATAAAGCAAAGCAGTGCGATAAAAACAACACAGAGTTACATATGGGGTAAAACAAAACAAAGTCAAAAATACAACAGAAATACATATAATATACAGTGTGCAAATTTAGCAAGTTATGGAGGTAAGGCAATAAAACAGGCTATAGTGCAAAATAATTACAATTTAGTATTAACACTGGAATGATGTGCAAGAGATGATGTGCAAATAGAGATACTGGGGTACAAATGAGCAAAATAAATAACAATATAGGGATGAGGTAGTTGGGCGGGCTAATTTCAGATGGGCTGTGTACAGGTGCAGTGATCGGTAAGGTGCTCTGACAACTGATGCTTAAAGTTAGTGAGGGAGATAAGTGTCTCCAGCTTCAGAGATTTTTGCAATTTGTTCCAGTCATTGGCAGCAGAGAACTGGAAGGAATTGCGGCCAAAGGAGGTGTTGGCTTTGGGGATGACCAGTGAGATATACCCGCTGGAGCGCAGACTACGGGTGGGTGTTGCCATGGTGACCAATGAGCTAAGATAAGGCGGGGATTTGCCTAGCAGTGATTTATAGATGGCCTGGAGCCAGTGGGTTTGGCGACGAATATGTAGTGAGGACCAGCCAACAAGAGCGTACAGGTCACAGTGGTGGGTATTATATGGGGCTTTGGAGACAAAACGGATGGCACTGTGATAGACAACATCCAATTTGCTGAGTAGAGTGTTGGAGGCTATTTTGTAAATGACATCGCCGAAGTCAAGGATCGGTAGGATAGTCAGTTTTACGAGGGCATGTTTGGCAGCATGAGTGAAGGAGGCTTTGTTGCGAAATAGGAAACCGATTCTAGATTTAACTTTGGATTGGAGATTCTTAATGTGAGTCTGGAAGGAGAGTTTACAGTCTAACCAGACACCTAGATATTTGTAGGTGTCCACATACTCTAGGTCAGACCCGTCTAGAGTAGTGATTCTAGTCGGGTGGGCGGGTGCAAGCAGCGTTCGGTTGAAGAGCATGCATTTAGTTTTACTAGTGTTTAAGAGCAGTTGGAGGCTACTGAAGGAGTGTTGTATGGAATTGAAGCTCGTTTGGAGGTTTGTTAACACAGTGTCCAATGAAGGGCCAGATGTATACAAAATGGTGTCGTCTGCGTAGAGGTGGATCTGAGAGTCACCAGCAGCAAGAGCGACGTCATTGATATACACAGAGAAAAGAGTTGGCCCAAGAATTGAACCCTGTGGCACCCCCATAGAGACTGCCATAGGTCCAGACAACAGGCCCTCCGATTTGACACATTGAACTCTATCTGAGAAGTAGTTGGTGAACCAGGCGAGGCAGTCATTTGAGAAACCAAGGCTATTTAGTCTGCCAATAAGAATGCGGTGGTTGACAGAGTCGAAAGCCTTGGCCAGGTCAATGAAAACGGCTGCACAGTACTGTCTATTATCGATCGCGGTTATAATATCGTTTAGGACCTTGAGCGTGGCTGAAGTGCACCCATGACCAGCTCGGAAACCGGATTGCATAGCGGAGAAGGTACGGTGGGATTCGAAACGGTCGGTGATCTGTTTGTTGACTTGGCTTTCAAAAACTTTTGAAAGGCAGGGCAGGATGGATATGGGTCTGTAACAGTTTGGATCTAGAGTGTCACCCCCTTTGAAGAGGGGGGATGACCGCAGCAGCTTTCCAATCTCTGGGGATCTCAGACGTTACGAAAGAGAGGTTGAACAGGCTAGTAATAGGGGTTGCGACAATTTCGGCGGCTAGTTTTAGAAAGAAAGGGTCCAGATTGTCTAGCCCAGATGATTTGTAGGGGTCCAGATTTTGCAGCTCTTTTAGAACATCAGCTGTCTGGATTTGTGTGAAGGAGAAGCGGGGGGGGCATGGGCAAGTTGCAGCAGAGGGTGCAGAGCTGGAGGCCGGGGTAGTGGTAGCCAGGTGGAAAGCATGGCCAGCCGTAGCAAAATGCTTGTTGAAATTCTCGATTATTGTAGATTTATCGGTGGTGATAGTGTTTCCTAGCCTCAGTGCAGTGGGCAGCTGGGAGGAAGTGCTCTTATTTTCCATGGACTTTACAGTGTCCCAAAACTTTTTGGAGTTAGTGCTACAGGATGCAAATTTCTGTTTGAAAAAGTTAGCCTTTGCTTTCCTAACTGCTTGTGTATATTGGTTCCTAACTTCCCTGAAAAGTTGCATATCGCGGGGGCTATTTGATGCTAATGCAGTACGCCACAGGATGTTTTTGTGCTGGTCAAGGGCAGTCAAGTCTGAGGAGAACCAGGGGCTATATCTGTTCTTAGTTCTGTATTTTTTGAATGGGGCATGTCTATTTAAGATTGAGAGGAAATTACTTTTAAAGAACAACCAGGCATCCTCTACTGACGGAATGAGATCTATATCCATCCAGGATACCTGGGCCAGGTCAATTAGGAAGGCCTGCTCGCTGAAGTGTTTTTGGGAGCGTTTGACAGTGATGAGGGGTGGTCGTTTGACCGCGGACCCGTTACGGACGCAGGCAATAAGGCAGTGATCGCTGAGATCCTGGTTGAAGACAGCGGAGGTGTATTTAGAGGGTAAGTTAGTCAGGATGATATCTATGAGGGTACCCATGTTTACGGATTTAGGGTTGTACCTGGTAGGTTCGTTGATAATTTGTGTGAGATTGAGGGCATCTAGTTTAGATTGTAGGATGGCCGGGGTGTTAAGCATATCCCAATTTAGGTCACCAAGCAGTACGAACTCTGAGGATAGATGGGGGGCAATCAATTCACATATGGTGTCCAGGGCACAGCTGGGGGCTGAGGGGGGTCTGTAGCAAGCGGCAACAGTGAGAGATTTATTTCTGGAAAGGTGGATTTTTAGAAGTAGAAGCTCAAACTGTTTGGGCACAGACCTGGATAGTATGATGGAGCTCTGCAGGCTCTCTCTACAGTAGATTGCAACTCCACCCCCTTTGGCAGTTCTATCTAGATGGAAAATGTTATAGTTGGGGATGGAAATTTCAGAATTTTTGGTGGCCTTCCTAAGCCAGGATTCAGACACTGCTAGAACATCAGGGTTGGCGGAGTGTGCTAACGCAGTGAATAACTCAAACTTAGGAAGGAGGCTTCTGATATTTATGTGCAGAAAACCAAGACTTTTACGGTTACAGAAGTCAACAAATGATAGCTCCTGGGGAGTAGGAGTGATACTGGGGGCTGCAGGGCCTGGGTTAGCCTCTACATCACCAGAGGAACAGAGGAGGACTAGAATAAGGATACGACTAAAGGCTTTAAGAACTGGTCTTCTAGTGCGTTGGGTACATAGAATAAAGGGGGCAGTTCTCCGGGCGTTGTAGAAAAGATTCAGGGCATTATGTACAGAAAAGGATATGGAAGGATAAGAGTACAGTTCAGGTAACCCTAAGCGTTGGGTAACAATGAA